CCAATTTTGCATTTTGGCTTTTATTTTGTTTTAATGGTAAGAAATGTTCTAAAATCATTCATCTTTTTCATCTTCATTATAACTTTCAGGCCGGACTTTCACCGTCTCTTTCTCGTAACTTTTTCCATCTTCAACAAGTTGACTTGCATCATACGACATATACCATACTGGTGGCGGTGCAATTATGAACTATTTCAGAAAATCGACATTGTGTGGTGTTTTTCAGTTTATCAATTGGCGTACCTCATTTTTTTTATTCTTTTTGTTTTAGGGGGCTACCAAAATGTTATTTTGATAAGAATAGACTTTATAAAATTGGTCTTTGATGCCCCATAGCCTAACTTAATGCATCTTGCATACTTCTATATGATTGATTATTGTTGAATTAATGGGTTTTATAGTAAAAAATATCTTTCAAATGCAAATACCTTTAATTCAAGGGCTACCGGCTAGGGAGGGGTAAAACTGTTGCTTCTGCTGTAATTGTTTTTATGCATTACAATTCCAAATATGGAATTTACTCGCAAGGATGTAGACTTGAGAGAATGTTATCATGTCATGGGGGAATGATGATTGCATGTATTTGGTACATACTAATACTATACAATCATATTTTCATACATATTTTGTGAGGCCCTCATTATGTCATTTTTTCTATTTTGACTGTATGTTCTTTATTATTACTTTTTTAATGCCAATGTCAGTTGCATTTTAATTTTTCTGGGTTTTAACTTACAGATACACATCAGAATGTGTGTGATTGAGTTTAGAAACACGTTTTGTGTCTTTATTCTACGAATGAATTTATAATTCGTCCATTCCCTATAAACGTTCTTTAATTGCAAAAGAGAACAAGACCACTCTTCCATCGGTGGGCTTTTCATCCATCGTACATATCATTCTTCTATGGTAATTTTTGTTATGATACGTTATGATGAAAGTCCTTACTTGAATCAATGATTTTTTTGGCTATGACCACAGGTGCTCGATTTATGCCAATGTCAGTTGCATTTTAATTTTTCTGGGTTTTAAACTTACAGGTACACATCAGAATGTGTGTGATTGAGTTTAGTAAACACGTTTTGTGTCTTTATTCTAGACAAATGAATTTATAATTCGTCCATTCCCTATAAACGTTTCTTTTGTTATAGCGATTGCTATTCGAATTATGATTTTCTTTGTATACTTTTATCAATTATCTAACCAAAATGGTCTTAATTTTGATTATCTTTTTTCTATATCTTTCATTATTTACTTAGTAATGCTCACTAGATGCTATGAAATTAGTCTTCAAATAAAATTTGTGATGTTTTTTTTGTTTGTGCAGGAGTATTTGGCTAACTATTGTTATTGTTACATATTGAGAAACATACATCGTTGTATACTATATAGACGGAGATGCCGAGCAGGAACAAATCATTGATGCTAAAGGTAAAAAGTTTTTTTTAATTTAAAAAAAAAAAGAAATACAATGATTTTTCCTTTTTTTAAAATAATTTAAGAAATGACATAATAAATAATTATATTAATTGAACCAGCTGATGTTCCAACAAAATTATTAAAATAAAACTAAGCTTGAAGTTTTATTGTTAGTAAGTTAGTTATCACTATAATGAGCACTTCCTTTACGTAAATACACTAACTTCAATTCAATGTAAAACTGAATTAAAATATATAGCATAAGGCCATGTGTTCTATTGATTTACAGGTATTTCCAGAAAAAATAAACTCTGCTTTCATGATTAATTGACTCTCAAACGTTGTCAAATTGATGAGAGGGTGTTTGTTTGAAGACTATTCCAATATTCAGAGAGTCTATTCTGATGTGTTTTCTTCTTGGTATTTTAATTGTAGTCTTATATCTCTTCAATTATTTGTGAAAATTAATAATCGTTTGAATATCAGCGAAATTCCAGAAAAAACAATGCCATTTGGATTTCTTTTAGTTGAACAACCCAAGAATAATGATTATAACGGAGCAGTGACTAAAAATAATGTAATTAAGGAGTTATAAATTTGGGAGATTGGAAACAAATTTTTACTAAATGGACACATTGACGACTTAGGTAAGTGCGATCTCTATTTCACCAATTTTGTTTTTTGTTTTTTTTTTGTTTTCTTTTATTGCAAATGTGGCAGCATAATAGCAAGTTCTTGGAGGAAAATTCAGGTTTAACTGAAACCTTTTAACCTAAAATTAATTTTTAACTGGAAATTATAATTCTTTTATGTTGCAAGGAGTTTGGCAACTAATAAGTTGATATACTTGAATAGGATTTCACGTGCTACACTATAGTGTAAGGTTCATTTCATTCTAAATGGGGTTCATTAGCTACACATAATTGGTCAGTTAATATAAAGTCAGTTAACATAAAGTATTAAGTATTAAGTTATGGTTAAAAATACATTAGATTGTTGCTGTAAAATTGCTGTGAAAATGTACCGTTTTGTGAACAAATTGATATAAAAATGACAAAATCTGATAAAATTGCTCTTGACAAAAATGTATCAAGTTTTTGCTGATATTTTTCTTGGCATCAGTTAGCCTTATTAAACAGAAAAAAAATTACATATAGTTCTTTAATTAGCCCATAATGGTATGTTTGTCTAAGATGAAATACATAAACAAACCTTCAAACTCTTCCCAAATTCTTGGTAATTGGTATATAGTTGTTATGGGTGATATATGCTGCATAGTCCCAATTAAAATCCATATTTTTCTATAAACAGAATCTGGGAATTTTAAATGGCCGGTTGTTGGTGAATATGATAAGCGTAAGAAAGACAAAAGTCGGTGCTAAACAAGTAATTTTAAATGGCTGTTTCTACAACTTCACCATTTGTTGACTTATTGCACATTTTTATTACATGAAAGCATATCTTACTGTGTGTGCAAATGGTTTTGGTCTCTAATATCTTGGTATAATACACATTTTTTTTTACATTATGCAATTTTAAATCTTTATTCATGAAGATCTTTTCAGTTTTGATATTTGGATTGGTTTGTTTTTACACAGAAGGATGGGGCTGATAAGATTAAGGAAGCAACCCAAATTAAATTGAAAAACAACAACAGCAGTGAGTGTTTGCAGGCTGAGTTAAAGATTCTTTTCTTTGTTTCTAATTTTATTAGGATAATTTGTTTGCATTTGGCTTCTAATTTCTCTATTTTAATTCTTATGAGATTCTTTTTTTTTTGTCATGTTTTAAATTTAGTTTCGCTTGCTAAATGTTTAAGTATTTTCATTCTACCGAACCTTTTTGGCATAGTTTAAAAGTCTACGACAAATACATTTCCCATATTATTAGCCAAACTAAAGTACATTGCTATTTATGTAATGGTTTTTAAGAAAAATGTGTAACTTGGGAGATTTTTTATGGTGTTTATCATTAGTAATCCGGTCAACTCTACAATTACAATTGCTATAGAAGTTTTCAAGAAAGTTGTATGCAAACTGGTTCAATAATCATAATAATTAACAAACCCAACAACGACCCCTCCGCTCCATACGAAGCATGGGCACCTTTCTAGTTTACCATTAAATTAAGATTTGTTATTGTTCAAGAAACATTATTTTATGTTTGTTTTTTGGCAGCCTAACATCTATGATTCGGTCATCTTTTCCAGCCGAGACATACAGGAAAAACCTACATATCTCCAAACAGACCTTCTAGCGACTCTGACCAATAGGAGTCAAACACAAACACAAAAAAGGTCAACAACATGAAAATACAGACACATACTATTTCTGGGTTTAATTTCGAATTCTCCATCTCAAGAACATGAACACACATAATTTGCATATTTGGGTTTCCCTCTCCATCACACTATCAAATCTATAAAACGTTTTGTATCTCAGAAATTGTTTTGATTTCTTTTTTGTTTCTTATTATTATTATTATTATTATTATTATTATTATTTTCAGATTTGGGTTTCCTTCTCTTTCTAAAATTGTCTTTTTTTCAACTCATCCAATAATTAGGTATGAAATAGATAGATAGAAAGATGAGAAAACAGATAGATAATGGTGTGATAGTATATGATGCATCTAGAGGGATGGAAGGATAGAAACTAAAGCCTATATCTAGATTTATAGGAGGAAGTGGGGAATAAATTAATTTTATAATAAACCACAATCTCAATGGAATGGAAATTTCAAACCTTGGGTGAAGAGAGGTTTTGTAAAATTACACAAATAAAGGAAAATTTAATAATATGAGATTTTAGAATCATTTTTTTAACAAGAAACGGGTTGAAACGAAATTTAATACCAAATACATTTAAATCCATTAAAATTCTTCAAACCAAATAATCCCTAAAACTTAGAAGTAGATAACCCAAGTAAAAAACGCAGTCGTAGATAACAAGGAAATTGACGACACATACATCAACTCCTTTTTAGAGAGTGTCGTCAGAGAAACCAACACTTAATTACAAGGTTGGATATTCGGTGCATGTTAACAACTTAATTATTATACAATATTGCCTCATCCGTCTTATATATAAATATTTATTTGATTTATTATTCCATCCCATACATATTAATTAACTATCCATTTGGCATCTCTTCATGAAGCACAACTTGATTCCCAACTCGTTGTCTGATACTTTAATCAAATAAGTGTACATATGTAAGACAAAGTTGTTTATTAAGCTACCGGTTAACACGAGACATTCAAATTGATCTTTTACCAATAATGATTGTACAATCATTTACAAATTAATTTCCATGGTATTAATTTGGTAACTCATACAATATTTTCTTTAATTTTGCGACTTATTTTCATACGAATTACATTTTTACTATTTCTTAAATTGACAAATACCTTTTGATAGTTTTTACTTTTACAATACAAACTTTTCTTATGCTTCACCAAGATAAACGGAGTGGTAGGTCTGCATATATGAGGTAGCTGTTGTCATTTACTTAAACATTAAAGGGCATTCATGGTTATTGTTTTGTATAAATATAGTAGCTTCTTCTACATGTATGCATCAATCTAATTCAATGGAGGAAAGTAATCAAATAATGCTTCTGGGCACAGCTGCAAGCCCGTATGTCAACAGGGTTCAGTTCGTCCTCAACCTTAAATCTATCAAATACGAATTCATTGAGGAAAATCTTGCATGCAAAAGTGATCTCCTCTTGGCATCAAACCCAGTTCTAAAAAAGGTCCCTGTTCTTTTACAAGCAAACAAACCACCGCTTTGTGAATCTCTTATCATAATCGATTACTTAGAGGAAATCTACCCCAATGTCCACAAACTCCTCCCAGCTGATCCTTTAGATCGAGCCATTGTCCGATTTTGGGCCAATTACATGGATAACGAGGTATGTTGTAGATTAGGTGATTTCACTTTCCAAAACACTCCTCAAGTTATAACAAAAAACATTGTACTTTATAAAATGTCTATCACACTAGAAAATTTTATAGTTAGATTAACGAGTTCTTAAATATAATAGAAAAGAATGTCGGATAAATGATAGATTTGTAGATCTAAAATAATGTGATTAAATTCTATATTTATATGAACAAGTTCTTGAATATACTAAAAAAATATGTCGGATAAATGACAGTATTGTAGATCTAAAATAATGGGATTATTATTAGACCACCCCAAATATGTTTATACCAACATAGTAGCAACATAATGTCTTACTAAAATGCTATTTTCTCAATGCCCCACTGATAGCGACCGATTCGAGGTGGTCAGCCTCCCAAGAATAATAGAAAGGAAGATAGGTGAGAGCCGATTATGGATGACTATTCCCCAAGAACAAAGATAATGAAATAGACTAAAACATACTTTTTTCTACCTCTCCTTGTAATGCAAATACATCCATATATATATATATATATATCATATATATATATATATATATATATATATATATATATATAACTAAATAATCCTACTACTAGCTAATAATAAGGCAAACATGTAATCATGGGTAATGAAAACGTTGTACTAGTAACTAAATGGAAATATGCATGCATGGTTGGAAGCTTCCAGGAGGTAAGGTTGGACTTTTTCAATTGCAAAGTAATGCCGACGTGTGAACCATATTATCAATCCAGTTGGGCGATGGAGGTGGCCTCGGGTATAACCCTAGACACGTATCACCCACCTACACAACTAATTTTATCAATCAATCTCAAGTTTTTACCTTTTATCACCAATATAACCAAACATATAATATTATTTCTTTTTTCCATTTATTATAATTATTTAGATTTTTATATAAATTTTGATATTTAAAAAATAATAAAATATATACTTTATATGTATATTTTAACAACCTCGTTATAATTGAAATAAAATGTGCATTATATTAAAAGAAACAAATGGAATTACAAATTGATGCAATAATAGAAAAATTACACATATGAAAGATTACATAACTAATAGTCATCATCAACTTTTTGGTGTTTGAAAATCTTCAAACAGATTTCTAGAAATACACTGTAAAGTTTATTAATTGGGTATACGAAACACTTGACTCAGATTTGGAGAAAACTAATGGTGCGTTTAGTTGCGGAAAAATGGACTATTTTCCGGAAAATTTTTCCAAGAAAAATGAGAATTTGAAAACGCGTTTAGCTCGTCTATTTTTCTAAATTTTTCACGGAAATGAAACTTTCTGTTTTCTAAAATTACAAAGAAAGGGAAATTTTGGAAAACTGATAATAATTTTTTCACATTTTTTTAATTCCAAAAATTTTCTTAAATATAAACACACACCCACTCCCACCCCATCCACCTCTACCTGCCCCCACCTTAACACCCCCCACCCACACACACACACATACATAGCCACCCCCACACACATCCACCCGCACACACACACCCACCAACCCATAAACACACACACCCACCAACCCATAAACACACACACACATACATACCCACCCACACACACACCCACCCACAAACACACACACACATACATACCCACCCACACACACACCAACCCACAAACACACACACACATACATACCCACCAACGCACCCACACACACACACACTCACACACATACCCACCCACACCCCCACAAACACAAACACACACCCACACACACAAACCCACACCTACCCCCACCCCCACCCTCACCGACACACCCACACCCACACACACACAAACCCACACCTACCCCACAAACACACAACATACACACTCACAAAACACACCACTCGCACCCCCACCCACCCAACACCACCACCTAATCACCGACCCTACCATCACCATCACCACCACCACCACCACAATCACCGACCTACAATCACCATCACCACCACCACCACCACTAATCCGTCACCAGCACCACCACCACCGCTGCCGCCACCATCACCACCACTGACACAATTGCCGACGCCACCACCATCGCCTGTCAACACCACCACCGCCGCCAACCCGCTACCGTCACCGCCCCCACCCACACCTTACCACCGCTACCGTTTTCTAAAAATGAAAACCGATAGAAAATACACATCTAAACACGTTTTCTAATTTTCTAAACTGAAAATGAAAAATGAATAAGTTTAACTAAACGCGTTTTCTAAATTTTTCAATGAAATGAAAAGGAAAGGAAAACGAAAATCGAAAAGGGAAAACAAAAAACGGAAAATGAAAATTGTTTTTCCGTAACTAAACGCAACCTAAGAGTTTTCTTCAGACCGGGAGTTTAGAAGACTTTGAAAAATCTCCATAAAAGTCGGTGTTTGCGACTCTACTTATCTATAAATGATGTGTAAGAAGTAGACGAAGAGATAAATATGTCGAAAATTGTGGGTTGCTTTTGCATTGTCGTGCGTGTGTGAGCTTTGAAGAGACGGAGGAAATGTTCCTTCCATGAGGGGGCTTTAAAACCTATAGATATATATACTATATATATATATATATATATATTATATATATATATATCTATATATATATATATATATATATATATATATATATATATATCTATATATATTATATATATTATAGAGGTTTAAAGCCCCCTCATGGAAGGAGCATTTCCTCTCTTTGAAGTTCACACACGCATGTATTGTAAAAATGTATCAAAATTCATGGTTTTTAATTTCTTACAAAAAACGAGTATAATATATATAAAATATATTTAAAAAAATAACAAAAAAATGAGAGGTAGTGAAAGGTCTTCATTTTCTGGCTTTTGGTGAGTGAAATATAAGTGAATGGACGTGTGGACATCTATTGTGTGGACTGTGCTATTCTGTGAGAATGACAAAGAAAATATGTTGTTTAATAATATGAATACGTTCAACCTTACATAACTATTGTCATTATCACACATTCTCACTAATTAAATCGTCTATAAGGTTATTATAGACTTTCTATTATTATTCTCATTCTGTCAGAATGTTGTCGGAATGTTTATTGAGTCGTATTCTGTCAGAATGATAATGAGTGAAAAACGATTTGTGAGAACAAAAATGAATAAGAATTAATGAGAATGCATGAAAATGACGATATTTTTGTAAGGTTGAACGTATTCGCATTACTAAACAATGTATTCTTTTAGTAATTATCAAGGTTCTAAATAACGTAAGGCGTGACTTGGCGGCAATGTCAAGCCTCAAGCTTTTCCGAGCCTTGGCGAGTCACGTCGTTTGTTAGGCGTGACTTAAGGCGGCAATTTTGTATATAATTCATATTTTTATATGTATTTTCTACTATTATTCATTTTTATACACATATATGGGTCAAGACGGCATTTTGGTAAAGCTTGGCGGCATATACAAGCCTTGGAGTCATGGCGTGCCATGGCGGAGCCATGTCGAGCTTTTTAGAACCTTGGTAATTATCATAAAATCGTATTGTCCACACGTCCACACAATAATTGTCCATCCACATTATAGCCTAGCTCTCTCTCTCTCTCTCTCTCTCTATAGATCTAGATACTATATATATATATATATATTATATATATATATATATATAGATATATATATATACATATAGGTTCTATGGAAAAAAAAAAAAACCCTAAAATCATAAAAAATGAATAAAAAAAATACTATAGATCACAAAATTTTTTTATGAAAAAATCGTATGTTTTTAAATAAATTCGTTGATTTTTTTTTTGAAATATTTTTTTAATTTTTTTTAAAATAATTGATTTTTTTATTTGTTTTTCAGCGAATTTATTAAAAAACCTGCGATTTTTCATAAAAATTAAAAAAAAGGTTGTAATCTCTAAGTTTTTTTATGCATTTATGATTTTTAGGGTTTTTTTGTTTTCCAATAACCTTTATATATACATATATATATATATATATATATATCTTATAATCTATATATATATATATATATATATATAGATATATATATAGTTTTAGGTTCTATGAAAAACAAAAAAACCTTAAATTCATAAAATGCATAAAAAAAATACTTAGCGATCACAAACCTTTTTTTGAATTTTTTTATGAAAAAATCGCATGTTTTAAAATAAATTCGCTGATTTTTTTTTGAAAATTTTTTCTTTTAATTTTTTTTAAAAAAAATTGTTTTTTTTCAGCGAATTTATTAAAAAACCTGCGATTTTTTTATAAAAAAATTAAAAAAAAAGTTTGTAATCTCTAAGTTTTTTTATGCATTTTTATGATTTTTAGGGTTTTTTAGGGTGTTTTGTTTCCAAATAACCTTTAATATATATATATATATATATATTATATATATATATATATATTATATATCTATATATATATGAGTTTTTTCCAAAAACATGAAAATTTCTTTTTATGAATTTTTTAAAAAGAATTTATGCACTTCTAAAATGCTTATATATAAGCATTTTTGTCAAATAAGATGTGTATACATATAATGTACTTCACATTTACATTACATTACATGTTATGTACATATGTACGTTTCAAAAAAAATTACGTTTTTTTAAATAATGTTAAAAATAGTGTAAAAAATAGAATTTGTTATTGATCGTCTTATCCTTCTTTGCATAACTATGTCAAATTGTGTGTTTCGTTTTCCTTTTAGATTATTCTATATTAAGGTAACTTTTTTAACACAAAAAGTCACTTTAATATCTATTACAAGATATTAATCAAATTAATTATAATCTATACGTTTTGTCTTATTGTTGCTAGCGATATTTTCAACTTATTATATGGAGAAGTTGAGTTCCATTGCAATAATCACTAGCATATTCAATCATTGTTAAAAGAATTTACTTTTGATTTGAGTTTACATATAAGATATTAGCTTTTATATTAAACATCAAAATATGCTTATAATATGGTGTTGTAAAAATATTTGAGATGTATAATCTGTTTGACTTACATATACATATGTCTAAAACGTTTTTGAAGGTTTTACCTTTATACGAAAAGTTGAGGTGTACACCTGACAAAGAAGGAAAAGAAGTAGTAATAAAGCAGATTATTGAAGAATCATGTTTGATAGAAAAAACACATATCAAGTTTAGTAATGGGAAGTCTTATTTCGGTGGAGAAGATGTGGGTTATTTGGATGTTGTTCTTGGAAGTTTCATAGGTTGGACAAGATTTGTTGAAAACCATTATACTTTCAAGATATTTGATGGAATTAGGACACCCAATCTTGTAGAATGGGCAGAACGTATGACATCACATGAAGACATTAAAGATGTGATCCCAAGTGAGGAAACACTCATGAATTTCTATATGATGATTCAAGAAACACAAACAACCAAGAGCTGTTTGAAGCTATATTAGGGACACACTCGTGAACTTATATACGATGCTTCAAATTCATAGATCAATAAGTGCTTGTTTGTAATTGGATTTTATGTTTATTTCTTGTTTATATATATATTATATATATATATATATATAATATAATATATATATATATATATATATATATATGTCATTGTATTTCCTTTTAGTTTGAACTATGTATCATGTTTTATGGTACCAAATGTCCACAATCTTACTTCTGTATTGTAAGTTTTGTATTATGACTATCATAAATGTCTGAATTTATTGTTCAAATAATTATAATTTTTTAAATTCATCGGTTCTGCTATAAATAAAATATAATTAAAATGTGATAAAGTGTTGTAATCGGTAACCACATAATTGTTTCAAATACTCAGAAAAATCAAAATTTATATTATCTTATTAAGACATTTTACTTTTGAAACTCTAACATAGTTAAACATATAATTTTTTTTTCTAGTTATACTTAATTTGAAAATCTAAACAATTATAATATAGTACTCTGAAAAACTCACCTATAAAGATTTTTTTTTCTTATTTTTTCTTATTAAGACATAAAAATTTGAAAATCTAAAAATATTCGATTGTAGTTACCACTTGTAAATTATACATTTAAATTTGATTTTAGTTGTCATTTATAGTTTATTTTTCAAAATCATGCATGTTTAAACATTGTACTAATAACTATTTTTCTTGTTCAGACCACTTTTTTTATTTTTTTTAATTAAGACATTACATTTTGAAAATATAACATGTTTAGCTATTTGTCTTTTTTCATACTTAGAGCCTTTGTGCTATGAAAATCTCAACTATTTTAACACAATAATATTTAAATACAATTTTAACACAATAAATTTTAAATTTAACTAGTTAAGTAATTTTTCTCTTATTCATTCCTATTAAGATAATATACATTATAAATAATCCAATCATGGTTATTTTGGTTATCACTTGTAACATTATACTTTCATTTTTTTCTTTCATTTTATTTTTTGTTAGAATGTAAATATTGTATTGTTATTGTCAAAATTTGATAAACTAATTTCGTAACCAAACTAGTAAGTATGATGTGATGTTTAGAATAAAATGTTAAACTGTGAAATGCTTATGATCTTATATATGCAAAGATCTTGGTTATACCCAACATATTAGGAATAAAACAATAGTATTCAGAAAATTATTTGAGAGTGTTGATTTGTTTCGAAATGTAAATAACTATATTTGTACGGATTGGGACAAAAATAGTGTAAAAGTTGTTAAATTGACAAAATGAAGATTAAGTCTTAAGATATTCAAAGAAATGTCTGGATATCGTAGAATACATCAGATATTTTAGTAAGACTACAATTACAAAATCAAAGTAAACATTCAAATAAATATGTAAGAATGTTGTAATCTATCAAATGTCCGTAACTAAATGAAAATAAATGCAAGAAAATAGAGATGTGTGAGGAAAGCACTTAATCCTTTTGGATCTCTGACATAAAACCTCTAGGGGTGATAATATCACATGCCTTATAACTTTAATTAATTAAAAGCTAATTATAGGTGCTAGTTGATCGTAGTGTTGTGTAATTTATGTGTAAGAGTGTTCAATAAGCAAGCAAAAGTAAAAGGCAGATTGTGAGCGTGTGTGTGTAAAATGATCAACTAATTTATATAAGGATTTTATAACTAATTGCCCTAATATTTTAGAATACTCCTTGATTCATGCTTGATCCGGTGTTTCAGAGGGACTTCAATGTTTAATTCACTTTAACCACGTGTCCTTTGACTTGGTCCATCCTTTTTTGATCAAGTCATCAAGTCTGATATAAAAGATAACAAAAAACACGATGACAGTCCCAACATATTTGACTAAATCCAAAAGCTTGGGCTACCTAGAATGTTGGCATAAGTTCATGATATGAAAAATGGAAAGAAAAACATTCTACCAATAACAATTGCACCCAGAAATCTTCAATTTTGGATCTTAGGAGTTGGAGATTTCTAGATTTTAAAATTTTAGCGGTTAGATGCCGAAGAGTTGGGATGGTTGTGCAATTTCCCAGAAAGTTTAAGTTCGTAACAACCTGTTGACCAAGTTTCCTTTCTATTATAAATTGATCTTACAATCTTTTACTTTTCCATAGTTGATCTGTAATGTCCCAAAACATACCGATAAAAAATTTCATTTTAAACCATCTATTTCATACAACCATTTGTTCCAAAACCAATCAGAGTAAATTGTATTTTCCAAACATCATAGTTAAACAAACATAATCAGTGCGGAAAAGCCATCAGGGGATGTTGTGCAGTCAAGTCGGACCCTTCCCTTTGGAACTGGAAGTACCTGAAAATGTTTAAACCACAAATCGTAAGCACAAAGCTTAGTGAGTTCCCCAAAATACTACATACCATACATACATTGCCATGGCTTACCCCTATGGTCTTGCATACAAGTGTCATAGGCGACCCCGATGGTCTTTCCTTACACTGCCAGAGGCTACCCTATGGCCTCATATACAAGTGTCATGGGCTACCCCCATGGTCTTTCCTCGCATTGCCATGGCTACCCCATGGTCTTATATGCAAGTGTCATGGGCTACCCCCAGGGTCTTTTATAGAAATGCCACGGACTACCCCACGAGGTCTTCCATGCAAGTATCATAAAGACAACTAGCATCCTACACAGTATAGTAAGAAAACTCACCTCAACCTTGAAGAAAAGATAAACCACACACTCGAGCCAACGATATCAAGTCACCTCTTGCTAAACATATACATAATAAAACCTTAATTAATAATTAAGGTAATAACTAACTCACGAAAGGTCTAGGCTCACAATTAAACATCCTTTAGGCGAAATACCATTTTGCCCTTCCAATACTAAGTCCCAACATGGTTGACCAAAAGTCAAACCAGTCAAAAATTCAACGCTCAACCCTCAGTTGACTTATGCTCAGCGTAGCACACTAATCTACGCCTAGCGTAGAGTTATGCTTAGTGTACAGAGGGTTGCACCCAACATAGAGCCTTGTTTCCCCAAAACTTCAATTAAGCTCTTAATACAACAAGCCAAACTCTCAAACTCTCATATCTGATCTAAAGGAATGTCTTAATGGATAAAGTCTATGAATTTATCCCTTTGCATGGCCAAGAAGAGCACAACACCAAACTTTAAGTCCATATTGTCATTGCTCAAGAACTCATGCATGGATGGATAAGAGTGCCCAAACTCTCATTTTATGACTCTATAACCTCAAAAACATCAGATGGAGGCATTTAAGTGGTCTGGAGTAACCCATACTCATAAGGACCAAGATTATGGAGAAAAAACATAGTGATCTAAAATGTAAAAGCATCAATATGAAAGCTTTATACCTTCTAGAGGTAGATGTTGGCTTGAAAATCCCAAATCTACATACCTTGAAGCTTCCTACTTGGTTCTACAAACACTTTCTTCCTTCAAAGAGCACACAAAACTCTCTAAATGCTCCAAAACTCATAATTGGTGGCTCGGATTTCAAAGGAACGATATGAGGTGATGGAGGATGGTCATGGGCATGATCCCAAGAAGTTAGTGCCCTTAAATACGGCCCAAAACCTTAGGGTTGGGGTTTTGGTCTGCAGTGGCTACGCCCAACATAGAATAACCTACGCCCAATGTAGGTCATTAAACTTACATCCAGAATTCAGCACCTACGCCCAACGTAGGGCAAAATTCCCAATTTCCAATTCAACTTCAAACAACCATAACATCTTCGTTTCAACTCCGTTTTTGGTGTTCTTTATATGCACATAAATGTATTGAAGAGCCCCATAATTCTGTCTAATTACTTTTGGCTTATTACATGTCGAACAAAAACCATAATCCGTGCAAGAATCCAGACATGTAACTTTTCCCATTTTACCATTTGGTTCCAACACACAAATCAGGGGCTTAGATCTCATAATCAATATTATCAACATTCAATAAGGTCTAAACTTTATTTCCTCAAAGCCCCAAACCTTTAAATGATCGAATTATGGTCAACAATCCTGAATTAAGAAACGTCCCGAAACAGGGTGTTACATGATCGATCCCTTAGGTAACTTTCTTTTTTCTTCTTCTCTATCACTTATCTTCGTTTCTCGTCATGGATAAAGCTCTCACGATATAAGAAACACAAAACGAGGGTTTTATCCATGATGATTTTATTGATTTGGGGATTTTCCTAAGAAAAAGAACGATCGTTGTAATTTTTCTAACTCTAAGATTGAGTCCCTTCAATTGAAAGAAAATTTTCCTTCACAACCCATTTTCAAGGCTTTTGATCCTCGCTTAATACCAAATTTTGTATCTCCTTTATGGATTAGTTTTTAACATTTCTCATTTTCTATTGGACTTCCTTTTCCTTTTCCACCATTGATCTCTAAATTCTTTTCTATAATAAAATTGTTTTATGCCAAATCATGCCTATGGATTTGGTGAATTTTATTTTTGGTTGAACATCTTAATAAGACTGATAACACTAATCTTGATCTACCCGAAATTGCGAGTTTGTACAATCTTCAAACCTTTTGCTTTTCTAGAATTATTTTTAGGATAGAGACTGAAAAAAAACCCATTTAGTTTTGAACACATCCCATCATAATGGTGGATGGAAGAGAAAATATTTCTTTGTCGGTAAGAAATCTCTTGAGAAAGGGGAATCTTTTTCCCCTTGACTAGGTTACCGATGATAGGGTTTATAATTTCTTAGCATTCATATATTTTCATTGTGTGTATTAATTTTTTTTATATTTTATGTAGTACCAAAATTTGAGGATTTATTCTCGTCATAAGACACAAAAGAGAGGCTTCACAAATTCTTCAGCTTATCCCCTAAGAAGACATTTTTCAGGGTAATTGGGGGTTGTTCGTTTGCAGAAGACCAAGATTTTCCTCCTGCCATTCAATTATCCAAGATTTCTACTAGTAAGGCTTTAGTATTTTGGTTTATTCTTTGAAAATATCTATTAACATTAACTAA